GGCTGCTCTCAATCCACTCTCCATCCAGCCTATAGCTGCGCTTGGGATTGCACCGACCCACGTGCAGGACCTTGCACTTGGCCTTGTTGAACTTCACGAGGTTTGCACAGGCCCACCTCTCAAGCCTGTCAAGGTCCCTCTGGATGGCATCCCTTCCCTCCAGCGTGTTGACTGCACCACACAGCTTGGTGTTGGCAAACTTGCTGAGGGTGCACTTGATCCCATTGTCCATGTTTCTGACAAAGATGTTGAACAGTGCTGGTCCCAGTACCGACCCCTGAGGAACGCCAATCATCACTGTTCTCCACTTGGACATGGAGCCACTGACTGCAACTCTTTGAGTGTGACCATCCAGCCAATTCCTTATCCGCCGAGTGGTCCGTCCATGAAATCCATGTCTTTCCAATTTAGAGACAAGGATGTTGCGTGGGGCAGTGTCAAATGCTTTGCACAAGTCCAATGTAATCCACTATCTTCAAATGGCACCAGCCATAATCCTAACCTTGCTATAAAGTTTTTAGCTCTGCTCCTAGACACAACTGCAAATATACTACAAGGCAGGTTTACTATTAGAGCTACTAAATGCCATCAGACTTTTCCACTCCTAGGCCTCATTCTAAACCTGCATGCTTTACTGAATCTGGAAATCAACTGAACTCTAAATCACCTGCTTTCTGAAACTCTATTAGTCAACTCATTCCCCACCTCTAATCTTTCTCCCTGATCATTCACCGTCTACAACCCTTATTGCTCCTAGAGTTCTGGCTCTTAGAAAATCATCCCTCAAAACCAGGCCAGCACATCTGGTAGGATCCATCAATCATCCACGCTCATAAGCTCCTCCCGCATCTAAACCAGCCCTCTCCGGAGATACCACAGGCCAAGGACTCTAGTCCATTTGAGAACAAGATGTTCATGATACCAACCTACAATAAACACACGGTGACTGCAACCTGCCAATAAACCAAGCACACATGCTTCTGCTTTCCTGTGACCCAGTCCTAATGACACTTATCACAGTTTTATAGCTATTACATGACCTCAAAATAAATCAAAACACCATCTGCCCTCAACACTCGTTTTTACCTCCTTCTCCCTGGTTTTAAGATCTGGGGGGCAGTTACCTTATGGCCAGGTAAGTTTCCAATGCTACTGCTCTGATCTTGATCCTCAACACCAACAGACATTCAGACAACTTTCAGAAACAAGAAGAGTAGAGGAAACTGTTACATTTGCTTTTTTCCCCCTCCATAACTACTTTTAAAATCCAGTCTCTTATGGTATTACCAAATTAGAGTCACTGTTGTGTTATCTGATCTATACTTTTTTACCTTCTAGTACCGTCAGATTTATTCTCTCTCAGTATAATCTATGTTTAAGTTTCTTAAAGATAATTAACTCTGTCTATAAGAGTGGAATTCATCTGCCCTGTTTCAGCAAGTGAAGTTAACTCCCAGTCACCTTCAGCTTCCTTTCTAGTCAATGGAAATAATTAGGCACCTTGGGAGGCTGATTCAACTCATTCTAAGATATTTATCTAACACAAGGCATATGAATGGCCCTCTGAGGCTGTGTATTTCTTTCCACTGGATATAAAGAGATTCAAATGGCAAAAAATATATTTAAATGTTTAACTGTGGATTTTAAATTAATCAAAATTAATCCACCTAACCTATCATTGTTGTTGAGATTTCCTCTTTAACGACAGTTGCAACACTTCAGCATTTTAATATATGACTCATATGGAAGGCAAACACATGGAAGCTACTGCAGCCACTGCCACTAGTGATGATAAAGAACAATAAAAATAAATTCCCTATGGCAAAGTGGGAGTGTGTTTCACAGGCATCCTATTTTTGATAACAAAAGCTTTCTCCTTTGGGTCCCTCTCATCTGGACACCCCCGAGAGATTTAAAAGCACTGAGCACTACTTTGTGTTAAACATTTTTCCTGAGATGTCTTTCTTTTCTTTTCTTTTTTCTTTTTTTTTTCTTTTTTCTTTTAGTTTTTCTTTTCTTTTCTCTTTTCTTTTCTCTTTTTTTTTTTCTTTTTTTCTTTTCTTTTCTTTTCTTTTCTTTTCTTTTCTTTTCTTTTCTTTTCTTTTCTTTTCTTTTCTTTTCTTTTCTCTTCTCTTTTCTTTTCACTGTAACATATTAACATGTTCAGCAGAGACAGAAGAAACTAACTGATTAAATGAGAAACATTCCAAAATGGTCCATGATAACCCTATTCTTGTTATGACCAAGAGAATAAACAGGCATCACTGAGCAGCAGAGAAGTCAGTATTTTATTAAAACAGATCCAAAAAATCCCATACATGCAAAACAAGGCATGCTGAACAAAAACAATGTTGATATCATCAATTTTTGAACTTCTTCCCGGTTTGAGAAAACAGTGTCACGATAACTTATCTGTTCTACATTGTTCTGCGAAAACACTGTGATCCTGACAACACCTCGAATTCATAACCTCCCCTAATCAGAAGGAAAACACATTTAGTAGAGGGGATGGAAACTACCACCCCTTGAAGCTGGCATGGTGACTCTGCCTGATGGTGTAGATGCACACCTCTCCATCAGTCTGGCCCAGCAGTGCTGAAGTCAATAGGAATTCTGGGACTCAGTTCAGTGGAAACAGATTCTGATATAACATGGACCTCTGAAAGGAGGGAGGCAGTCATTCCTGTATGAGTAAAGACATAACACTGATGCAAATATAAAGCACAAAGGAAGAAAAGATGTATTGGATTATAGCCGAGGTCCCTCAAAAGGAAAACACACCTTTCAGCTTCTCACACATTTCCTTTTCTAGACAGAGAATGTCTCTTCTTTGAAGAAATCTGTCCAAATCCTGCTCATACTAACTCTTCCTGTGGCTGAATAGATTGTATTATTTGTTAGGAAAAATAAGATTAAGAAATTCTTCAACTGGGACAATTTAAACCGTCTATCAAACCATATCTTAATCAAATGCCTATTCAGTAAGCATTTAAGATCTACTTCTGAACAGAATGAACAAACAAAAATGTAGCACGGTGATGTTTTACATTTTTTAATATATTTTGGTCCCTGTAATTATAATTATTTTGAATACTCACGAGATGTTAAAAAGTGTAAATTTTTTTGTGTGTGCAAGCACAGATCTAAAAATTCACATATATAGAAAAGTATACTCGGGAAGAATCTTGGAAAAATTAATGAAAACTTCTAAGTACAACATGGCTAATAAGTTTTGAAAGGGATAATTAATTTCTGCAAAGACAGTGTCATCTTAAATAAAGATATTCAACTAAAAGTATGATCGGAGATAATTTTTCTGCAATACACTTTCCGTTGCAAAAATCACTATGCTTCTTTAGCAGCATTATTTCCTTTAAAAATGTTACTTCAAAAAGAGAAATCAGATTTGAAAAATGCAAAGATGATTGATTTCAAAAGGTTTCACTTGTCTTTGAAACTATTATTCATAAAGTTTTTTATCATGCAAAATGTTATCAAAACCATGTAGAAATGACATATTACCAATCCTGAATTCTCCAGGAATCCCTTAGTTGACCATTTTTTGCAGTCTGGTTAGGAGGTGACCACCTATCTCTTCCATGCCTCCAAGACAATGAAAAGAGAGCAGTCTCAGCACAGAGCACACACAAACAGCCTGACTTTGTTTCTCTGAGCTGCCCATGTGAGGAACCAATGGCCACCTTCCCCTAAAGAAAGACGACCACTAAACAAATCTCCCCCGTTATGCCTTTCAGTTACTGCAATGTGAATACCCACCATAGCATCCAAAATCCAAAAAGGATAAAAAGGGAGACTTTGGGCAACGCTGTCCTGAAAAACTGGTTCACTAAGAACACACTTTAAACAGCGGGTCACAAGAATTAGGAAAAACAAATTGACTCCCTTTATCAGATTAGCCTCACTAGAAAAGACTAAACATAATACACTTCAGACATACCTATCTCTAACTCCCACCATTTTACTTTTGGTGATGTCTGTAGCACAGTATTCAAGATAAGGAACGGCCAGTTTCAGTGTCAGCTGAATGTTCTTTCTTCTGGTGAAACACTTAGTAATACCTAAGCATTCAGGGACTTGTTTGGTATAGTATTTCCTTCCATCCTTCTTCCCACCATGGGTGTTTAACCCATTCACCCTGGGAAGCAACATAAAGGTTTCTACTGATTTCATCTGAGTACAAATCAGATGCCAGATTTATCACACACACACAAGCAAAATAATAATCCATCTCTGTTTCACAGGAAACTTCCTCATACAAAAAGTAATCAATGAAAATAAAGACTTCTGATAACAGAGAACAGTTCACACTTTAACTGCAAGAAAAATAATGTTAATGAATAAGAACTGAAATAGATTTTTTAAAAATCCTTTTTTCTTTTGCTGTTTAAATAAAAGCTTATTAACTTGTAAAATTGTGAAATACATAAAGATCAAAGCAGCTGTTAGAATGTAGTTGAGCATTTTAACATCACATCTGTTCATCAGATTTTTAGAATCAACTCTTGGCCTTCTCCAAAAACAGGGGTGGAACAACAACTGAAGTCATTGCTTTCAATTTACAAAAGGAAAATCATTTCAGTTCTTTCAACTTTTGTAGGCTCTCTCACTGCTTAAAAATAAAAACAAAGCAAGCCCCATGCAATAAATAACACTAGTTCTTAAAACAGTATGGCATCCCATAAGGCTGCCCTATCGGGCTCTGATGAAAAGGGTTTCATCAGGAGTTGTAGGACAATCCTCCTTCTCAGTAACAGTCTCTACTGTGCCTGAAGCAGACACAATCACTACTGTTTTAGCTGCTGAAAGAGCTTTCTCCTTCTCTGCGATGGCAGCACAGACGGCCACAATTTCATCACTTTCAAAGTCATAGTCTGGGATTGATTCTTGTGCAAGTTCTTTTTCCTTTGCCAGTGCTTGCACTGCCTCGGTCTTTGTTGCCTTCTGCTGTTCATGTAGTTTTCTTGCCCAGGAAAGGTCCTCTTTCCATACTTCAGGGTTCATTGGAAAGATGTGTAAGGATACCTGGAAACTTCGGATTGCCTAGAAACAGAATGGGGAAGAAACAAAGATTGGACACTGAAGTCTATATATTTCATGATAGAAATTAAAAAAAAAAAAAATATGTACATCATTCAAGCAAAGACAAAAGTGATTTTACTCCAGTCTGTCTTTAGTGGAACAATCCTCCCTCAATTCTAAGTTCAATATCAGCATTACCCCCGAACAACGGTGCATAAAAGTGTCTGAAATTACCAAGAATGTATGAACAACCTGGCAACAAGGGCACAAATAAAAGTTCACATGTCAAAAATAATATTGTAATTAAAAAGGTAAAAGCAAAAATAATTTTTGCTTTGATGGTTTTCTATCATCTCACTTTTCTCCTATCATCAGATGTAAGGGAAGGCAAAAGCAGACAGATATCATTTAAAGAAATATAAAATAGGGATGACTGGGATTTGAAGTATCACTAATATCACTGCTTTTAAACTAGCATGTAGTCATTTCACATACAGACCCAATACTACAGTAATCCTAGCCCCATGATAAGCAGTTTCTGTAACAGGTTAGTGGTTGCAAACACACTTACCTAAAGAGGCAAAAGCAGACAAATAAACTCCCAACTCGGCAAGTTGCTCTAATGAAGAACTCCTATAATCTTATAAACCATGTAATATTAATACAATTAAGTATAGCTGATACTGTTTCTCCTGTCTTTCAGCTCAATTGGGAAAAGTCCCACAAATACAAATATGCAACACAGAAGTTGTTAAATATAAAAAAAAATGTGACCATTTAATCCAGTAGATGTGATACTTGGCAATAAGAAGAGATTGCTACAATACTGGAAAAATGCTAGACCAAGAATTACAACTGTACTGTATTTGTATTTATATTAACAGTGAAAAGGTCAAGACTGACCTTACCTACTTAAATTATGTGTATTTCACATTTATGACTGTATGGTCGGTTATGGAAATGGCCACCTGAGTGACCAAACTCTTAGTGTGATGAGGTACAGAAGCCTTCCTGTAGGGTGGGAAAACAGCGATGATACAGATTTGGATTATATTTGGGAAGACTTCTAGCAACTTGCATATAAAGACTTTAAAGACGTGCAAACAACTATCGAATTCCATATTCTGTTGTAATTTATAAATACTTAAAGTGTGTAAATTAATTTGAAAAATCACAACTTTTCATCTGCATTGACAGAAACTGCTAATTCATCCTTCTGCTGGCACAGGTTAATATATAAACTCTGTATGACGTGAACTCAGCAGACAAGAGATAGAAATCAGATTTAAGAAATGTTGATTATGCTATCAGTATTACTGCTGTTGTAATAGGCAGCCTTTCAGTTCCAGGAAAAAAAAAAATAATACTTTATTATTGGTCCACAGCCAGTTTTGAAGTGTAGGAGCATGCTCAACTTTAAACAGAAGGAGGAGTGCAGTTTAATTCTTGCAAAACAGTGTCATTTTATTCAACTTTGCTAGCTTTTAATTTCCACAGATAGATGAGCTACAAGTAACCATTAAATGCTCTGGTTTTTTGTATTTCTGTTGAGAACAAAATATAAACAAACACCATCTGCTTTTAAGCTTTCCATGAAAGAGGCCCCCTAATTAAAGTCTGTCTATATAGCTATGTTCATGCACAATAAACAACATTAAACACAGTAATCAAATATAAGGTAACATTTGATAAGCTTAGAAGCTGCCTTGATGATTCATACAATACAGCATAAAACGATCATCTTAGTAAATCTATTAGAAAAAAGATTTTGTGTGTCACATTTTTAGAAATTATGATTATTATTATAATAATATAAAGTAAATTTTAAGTGCTGCAAAAGAGCAGAGGGATAAATTTTAAAGCAGTAATGTAATATTGAAAGATACAGAATTGTCATCCACATAAAATTTCATGCTGCCACTGTAACTGCTTCCACAGCCATTAATTTCTATGAAGACAGAAGAAAAGGAAATAACAGTGCTACTTTTAATTCTCTCACTGATGGAGATGTAAATCTCCTTCTCCAACTGCCTGTCTGGCATTATAGGAAAATGTGATGGCACTAGATAAACTTGGTATTTCTAGACTAATTTTAAAGGGCAGCTGCAGTCTTAGAGATCCTGCAAGTAAGGACTATGGGATTTTAAACCAGTACGTAGTCACATACCTGCTTTTGCTTCTGTAGGGAAGACTACTATAAAATCTATTACAAGACAAATTACAGTAATTGAAGAATTTGTACTTTTAGATTACTTTACATTTCATCTCACTAAAGGGTATTCTGTAGCAAACAATCTTTCATTTGTCCTATGACCAGAATCTCTTCTGCTGATTTGCAGTCTTTAAACATCAAGGGCAGTTTTGATCAGGCTACACTTTTTATAATATGTTTTAATAACACATGGATCTAGTAACTGTCACTATACAGTGACCCTTAAAAAAGGTAAGGGAGCATTTTAAGAGATTACGCAGTTCACATCTGCCCCCAAGGTTTGCATTAGGCCTTTATGTTACATCTGACAGACACTTTTGGACCTATTTCAAAGGATGTCCATCAGTGAAGATATGTATACAACTATAAGGAATCTTCTTCTGTGTTTAATGATCCTTACATCTTTTTACAGCATCCAACATAATACTTGGAGTTGGTACTGGGGGACGAGAAACTCGACATGAGCCAGCAGTGTGCGCTTGCAGCCCAGAAAGCCAACTGTGTCCTGGGCTGCATCAAAAGAGGTGTGACCAGCAGGTCGAGGGAGGTGATCCTCCCCCTCTACTCCACTCTGGTGAGACCCCACCTGGAGTACTGCGTCCAGCTCTGGGGGCCCAGTACAGGAGAGACAAGGAGCTGTTGGAGCGAGTCCAGAGGAGGGCCACAAAGTTGATCAGAGGGCTGGAGCACCTCTCCTATGAGGACAGGCTGAGAGAGTTGGGGTTGTTCAGCCTGGAGAAAAGGCGGCTCTGGGGAGACCTTAGAGCAGCCTCCCAGTACCTGAAGGGGGCTACAAGAAGTCTAGAGAGGGACTGTTTACAAGGGCGTGTAGTGACAGGACAAGGGGGAATGGGTTTGAACTAAAAGAGGGTAGATTTAGATGAGATTTAAGGAAGAATTATTTACGATGAGGGTGGTGAAACACAGGAACAGGTTACCCAGAGAGGTGGTAGATGCCCCATCCCTGGAAACATTCAAGGTCAGGTTGGATGGGGCTCTGAGCAACCTGATCTAGTTGAAGATGTCCGTGATCATTGCAGGGGGTTTGGACTAGATGACTTTTAAAGGTCCCTTCCAACCCAAACCATTCTATGAATCCATGAAAATAATTTATTGGAATTTAAGTCTTATTTCTTTTACTACTCACTGTGAATATAAATAATTAGTTTTTACAGAAACCTGTAGCATAGAGATATCATAAAATTTTAGTGTATTTAAAGACTCCTTGTTACATTTATCTTCTTTTTAAAAAAATTCCAATTATTTCAGGTATTTTCACTCTAGTTTAATAGTTTATACAGTATAATCTGAATGGTAGGTATCTCTTTGATTTTAAATGGTCAGGCTGAACTTTTCTGTTCAGATTATTTCTTCAATAAAAATTTTCTCTCTGGAAATTTCTTTTCAGCAAAAATAATCCTTCTGTCTTCAAAAACAGAGGTGAACACCTAATATTTTGTGGTTCTTATGTTTACAAAACCATTTTATTCAAAGGTTCTGGTCCTTTCATGTTTTGGAGAAAACACTTGCACAATAGTAGGCAATTTTACAGATGTGAAAGACTAAACATACCTATTGGAATTCAGTCAAGATATAAACCCATAAAAGTCTTTGCTCCCATTTGGTAGATGTCTGTGAGATGATGCTAGCTTAATTCTCTCACACTGGAAGTTCTCTACTGCAGAAGATTTATGCAGTGCGGATGAAGATGCTTCACCCCAGGGGTGACTCAGCACATGTCCTCCCTGGGGTGCAGTGCCTGATGGCTGGCACCAGAGGCCAGAGGACATGTGCCTGAGCCTACAGGTATGAGAAGAGAACAGGAATATAATGGTCTGAGGCAACTGATAGAAAAAGACATCCCCAGTTTCTTTGGGCCCAGGCACACATCTCTGTACAGACTAGAGTTTCAGAAAATTTCCCGTCAGCCACTGTGTCCACTTCAAGTTTCTCTTCAAGGTGCCTCTTCCTCACTTCCACAGTTTCCTTCTTCCTCTTCTTTTGAAGAAGCTTCTATCCTCTCTTGTACTTTCTCTTGCTTCGGTGATGTACTCCCATTTCCCAGATCTCCTTTTGTACCAACTCGCTTCTTCCCAGCCCTCACTCCTCACAACGCTTCCTGCCCACCTGCCTTTACACCTCAGTGAGCAACCCTGCAAGACACTGCAGCATGCTCTGCAGAAGTCACTGCTTCAGGCTGCCTCTACCATGCAGATCTGTATGCCGTGCTCGAGGGAACAAAAAAATCTATCCCATCCTACAAATCGGCATCTTTAGCCCAAGAAAATAAAGCCTGAAGTCATATGAATACTCTTAAGTCAGGAAAACCCAGGATGGAAAAGTTACCTATTACCAAATGATACTGCTAAAATTATTACAAGGAATCTTAAAATAATGGTAAAACAACTTTCTTCCCAACCCCAGTTTGTCATATACTCTGCATCTGTTTTAGCTACAAAGTCTAAATGTTGAGAGGATGTACTTCATCATCACAGTTAAAGTCTCAAAAGTTCTGAGCATCTGACAAGAGTAACAGGAGGCGCCAGCTAAATCAGTGGGGAACGCTCGCAAGAACTGAGCACGCCTGCCAGGAATGTGGCAGAAAGGGCATTTGAACTTTTGGAGACTTCTTTGCCATTCTGCTTACTTGACTGAAAATAAGAATCACCTCTGAGTAGAAGATATTTTCATGCATTAAAAAAAAATCACTAGGTGGGTTATCAAAATACATTTATGACTTCCAACAGTGGTTAAAAAGAAAAAAAAAAAAAGATTTCACTTTAGTAGCTGGAAACTGCAGGGCTGACACAGGACATCTGGGGAAGCTCGTATTACCACGTATTACCTAGTATTACCTATAACTGGGTAGGACTGTTTAAAGCTGTTGAAAAGAATTTAACAGAACCCCACTTTAACTGACATAGCATTTTATTTTCTCTCTAACTTAATACTTCCAAAATACTATGCACTAGAATGTGTATGAGGCTGCAGTGTAGTTCAAGATGGAGTTGGCAGGACAGAAATATGCCCTGACAGATGTTTTATTTTCAAAATAAATGTCTTTTATCAAATCCTGATAAGGAAAGCAGTAGCATCTGAAGTGCGACACAAAAATTGTAAATGGAATAACAAGAAATTCTAGGCCAAAATTATAAAACAAATTTTAAAAATTGCATTGCCCACTTTTCTTTACATTTATGCACATAAGAAGAGTAAGTATCAACTGTATTAATATAATCATAAAGTTAAATACTCCCATCACTATAAAATAATCCACACATTTTGTCATGCCTGGGAGGAGGATTATCACAGCAGTGTAATTAAATGTTTTAATCTCATATAAGTCTATAAAAATAAAATCGGAGTTATTTATCCCCTCAAGTTGACAGGAACAGAATCTGAAGCACAGACTTAACTGGTTTTCAATGGAAAGCAAACTGTCAGTTTCCTTTTGATAACCAAAATTTTGATGTTTGTACACACTTACATTATTAATGTTTTGAAAAATTCTCTCAAATTCAGTTATGTTAATTAGCTGGATTGAAATAAAATGCAGTAATTCCTTTCTTTGCTAGTACATATTCCCATCATTACATGAAAGACCTAAAACTATTCCTTCCAAGAGAAATAAAAGAAAATGGCTGATGTGAGGACTCATATTGCCAAGGCTTGTCCTTCAAAACATCAAACAAAAAGCAAGCACAACTGGTTCATATTTACAAATCTCCCCAGTTAACTTCGTAATCCTCAATACCCCAGATTTGACACAGAGGTCTCAGCCCACAACGGGGTAAGATTAGGTCACAGAATCTCAGCATGGTGGAGGTTGGTCGGGACCTGCCAAGGTCATCTGGGCCAACCCCCTGCTCAAGCAGGGGCTGGTTGCCCATGATCATGTCCAGATGGCTTATGAATTTCTCCAAGGTGGGAGACTCAGTCACTTTCAGTTGGCAGATTTTTTTTTGTGTTTAATGCTGCTTTTGTTTTTCGTTTTTTGTTCGCTGGTTTAATGAAAGCGTGGGGCTCCCTCTGTCTCATGGGAAGAATTGTTTTAATGAAGGTATCTGTGGGAAACTGTTACTGCTTAAGTTGCCATCACCAATACAGTAATATCATTTGTAAAAACAAACATTTACAACTAAATGAGAGAAATATTACAAGCCTGACTACAGTTCTACAGTTTCTACGTTCACGTTGCAAAGTTTATGTAGGTGTGCTCTTGCAAATTGATTTATAGAATTTAAGGAATTTCTGCCTTTACAGAAGTAAAGTACTGCCTGCTCACAGTTAAGTACTACTGCCTAATTACCCTATTTAGTAAATTCAGAAAAAAGAGCAAACAGCTTTTGTAAAAGCTAAATAGAAAGGAGCTAATTTATCACGCTCTTTCTGTCACAAGTTTGATAACACCAAACCAAACCAAATCATTCTTCATTTGCAAGAAATTAATATATTGTGCAGCTCAAAACACAAATTAATTTTTTTCAAAGCTGTGTTTTAAACCTGGGAAACTTGAAATTAAAATACAGCAAATTGTTCTTTCCTAAGAAGATGTGCCTCATTCATTGTGAAGTAATAAAAATATTTACAACAGACTATTTGGGAGGATGTGGGTTGTGAAGACAGACATTGGTAGGGGAGAAATGAAACAAAGAAAGAGAAGAAGCTGCTCTTGAGAAGGGTAGTAATTCCCAAATCTCAAACATTACTAAAAAGCCCTGACATTTATGCTTTATTAGCTTTTTTTATAAAAAATATAATGAATCAGTGCACAAATTAGAAAATCATGGTAATGAAAGGCTAGTGGGAAAAGGATAATTATGACTTAGATCACCTGGTCAAGAAGCCTCCACACGTTCAATAATTATGAAATAATTTAACCTTTGAAAACTTCTCCAGTCTTAACTTTCTATGACTCCTTAAAAATTGCTTGATCCAAAAACAAATAGTGAACATTATCTGCATTTTTCACTAACTCCTTCTTTGTATATGAGAATATATTCATCAGAAGGCAGTTCAATACGCCTTAAAGACAGAAAGGCAAAAAAGTAGAAAGAGCCAGTACTACAGCACGGGGACAGCAGCAGGAGCTTACCCACCCCTGGGCTCCCTACTCAGAGACAAAAACATCCAGAGGGCAAACTACCTGGTGATAACTTCTCCTCCCTCTCTGCACAGACAGTAAGGTGAATATAACAATTACAAGGCATCTATACTAGTGTTTTGTTTCAGATGAATAATGTGCTGTGATGCAAATCTCTGATTGTTCCCATTTTGCATCATGGAATAGTCTCAGACTAAATAAACTAGATTCCTTTCTGATTAAGCTCAACAACGCACTCCACCTGAAGGGCTACTCTGAAGTTAAAAAAAATTAATATGGTGTGAACACTGGGTCTCCACCACTACTAACACAAGATATCCACTCCTATTGGTGTGATGTGACTTGACAATGTAGACAAAGCTTACAGCATCTGGTGAGTAGATCTAGTGTTATAACTAGTACGGGTATATCAATATCTATAATTCACATTACAGTAACTCTAGCATTTTTTATAGAATAAGCAGCATTAGTTACCTAGGATTTTTGCAGAAAATAAAACTTTGAATGTCCTGTGACTAATGCATTTAAAAATCTCAGACATAATTTACAGCAACAATTTCAGACACTTAAAAGGAAATAAAAAGATATATAGATTGTAGATCCAGACAGGACAGACCATCTACTCTTACCTTCTACATCACAAAAGCCAGGGAATGTCATCAGTTACGTGATGTGATGCAGATATACATGGATTTATATTAAATATTTCATATTATGACACTGCAACAACGTAAGTTAGCACACTATACATCTGCAACACACAGCTTTTGTCTTATGTTATTCTCATTGTTTAGGTTTTGGGTTTTTGCTGGTTTTTTTAAATATTGCTCCGTCCTACATGATCTGCATGATCTGTTAGACTCCCTCAAAAAATCATGATTTTTTTTTTATTATTAAAAATTTTCGGTCCAAACATTGCAAACTCACTCTAAATTAACAATAAAATTGTTTGTATCAAACCAGCACATGGTTGCTTCTATTAGAAATAAAATAAAAACAGTATTTTCTTTTATCTGAGGCCTCACAATGAATTATTTTTCTAATTCACTTTTTTCAACATGTCTGAATTAAGAAGTTCACTCACTATGTTTCCACACTAACTAGCAGAAAACTATTACACTATGTATGTTACATTATTTACAGGTGTATAGCCTATAGGCAGAGGGTGATCTGACGTGGGGGATGAGTCTCCCTTTGCATCACATCATGTGGCCAAGAGAGCACCATGGCCTACAGCTGCAGCTAGAGAAAAGATGCATTCCAGCTACTGCAGAGCATCCCAGCCTTTTTGCTGTCTTATTATGAAAAGAAGCAACTTCAGCCACCATTTGAGGTCAAGAAGCCAGAGGAAAGCATGAATAAGCGCACACATGATTTGCAGCACAGAATCACAGAATTCCAGAATGCCAGAACAGTGGGGGTTGGAAGGGACCTCCGGAGATCATCTAGTCCAACCCCCCTGCTAAAGCAGGATCACCCAGAGCAGGTTGCACAGGATCATGTCCAGGGGGGTTTTGAATATCTCCAGAAAAAGAGACTCCACAACCTCTCTGGGAACCTGAAGCAAGACAGTAGGAGACAGGGAAAACAAGATACTAGAATTTCATTAGGAGGCATGTATAAAACTGAGCTTGAATATTAACTGGGACTTCACAGTACCTTCATCTTTAAACTGTGGTGAGCTGTGCTGTAGTAGTACAGTACCCAGAATGTAGTATGTGCAGTTATGCCAACATAGTTATTCTATTGCATAAAGCCACCACGTAAATACAGTATATAACACAAATGGCTTCCACAAGCCCAGCAACAAAACCACACCGGAAGCATTTGTGAAAAACAACAAAGTGGAGGGAATACTGGAGATAAATAACAACAACCTTTTTCTTTGTCTACTTTGAGGTTACATAAGGATATCCTGCTACCTTGGTAGTTCTGTACTTTCATTCACACACAATTCAGAAGATGTGATTTACAAGTTCAGCATACTAATGTTGTCTGTTTTCCTACCAGTGCTATCTCTCCTAATCCAAGCTGGGCACGTCCCAAAGTCTGCCAGGCATCCCAAGAACGTGGGTTTCGCTGGACAGCCATTTCTGCTGCATGTACTGCTGGGAACATTTCATGTAAAGACATAAGGACCTATGACAGAAAAAGAAAAATAAGAGGAATAATAAGCAAAATTGAAAACAGATGTAAGGTTTCTGGGATTACCTAGGCAACAACCATTGTTTCAATAACTAAGGACAGGTTAATCTCACCTAGCTTTTTATCACAGAACCATAGAATCACAGAATGATTTGGTCTGGAGGGGACCTCAAAGATCATCTAGTTCCACCCCCCCTGCCATGGGCAGGGACACCCTCCACTAGACCACGTTGCCCAACGCCCCATCCAACCTGGCCTTGAACATTTGCAGGGACCCAGGGCCATCCACAGCTTCTCTGGGCAACCTGTTCCAGTGCCTCACCTCTCCAACAGTAAAGAATGTCTTTCTAACATCTAATCTAAATCGACCTTCTTTTAGTTTAAGGCCATTTCCCCTTGCCCTGTCACTCCATGCCCTTGTAAACAGTCCCTCTCCAGATTTCCTGTAGGCCCCTTCAGGTACTGGAAGGCTGCTACAAGGTCTCCCTGGAGCCTTCTCTTCTCCAGGCTGCACAATCCCAACTCTCTCAGCCTGTCCTCACAGGAGAGGTGCTCCAGCCCTCTGATCATCTTTGTGGCCCTCCTCTGGACTCAGTCCAACAGCTCCATGCCCTTCGTACATTGGGAGCCCCAGATCTGAATGCAGTACTCCAGGTGGGGTCCTGTATCCAACACTGGGGCCCCCAACATAAGAAGGACATTGACCTGTTGGAGATTCTTGGGTTGGTTATTTTTTACTTGTTTAAAAATTAGTTGCCTAATCTCAGATAGTTACCCAGACTCATTCCATAGCCCATGGAGAGAAACAGGCATGTTAGAGGATGATTCACCTGAACCATTTAAGTAACTCCATGAGAAGTAGATGAATTGCTTCTGAAGGTGCCTCTCCCTCTCCCTCCTCCCTACAAACCCCCCACTCTGTAAAATCATAACAGAATACACTGAAGGACAAACACATTGAGAATTAATCACAATAAATAAACAAGTATTGTTGAAAAGCTTCTGGGTTGTATTTGTTCTTTTTAATAACAGACTGGAATCTACCAAATACAGTTGCAGTGCACATGATATAATTACAGAAGCAATCCCCGTAATTCAGCATGGAAACAGCCCTTAACGATGACAGTTGTATTTGGAGAGTAAGCATTCTGCAATAGCAAAGCCTAACTGAGACATGAAGTCACCTACACTATAAAAAAACCAACAAAAAAAAGTGGTTTCCGAATGTGGAAATCTCTTTTACTCAGCAGTACAGGTTAGTGTCAGCCTGTTACCATAGTATTCTACTCCTTGCATTGAATCTCCATAACTAAGCCTATAAATCATAGTTAACAATACATAACATGGCTTAAAGCTTGTCTTATTTTTCCAAGACCACCATGAGATTGGCCTATTACCTGAAGACCTGCATCACTCTGAGATCATGATTTCAGACACCCACATGCTATGGTGATAGATACCAGTGTAAGAAACAAATGACAACTGCATTCCTACAGTATGATGAGAATGTCAACCACAAGAGTAAGACTCATGTGTGGGCAACCACTTTCATCCTAACTGACCCGCAAGCATGATGAATAATATTAGAACATATTAGGAGTACTGAAGTGCAAAAAGCATTTATTTAACCTTACTGTTCTATGATATGTTAAACAGATGAATATCAGTGTGGAGTACTGGAGGATTCAAATGCAATAATCTTGAGTATTTACTTTAATTAACATAAAATACTTGCACAGCACGGGGGTGAATACAGGGGGGGGAAAAAAAAAAGCAAAGCTTTACTACAGAAAGTAATGCTGTACCCAAGGAACAAAGGAAGCATAGCTTCTGATAAAGTATTTGGATCCATACTACTGCTGTTTTAGTAAGACTAAATTTTTCTAAAGACTAGTCCTATGGCTTCTCTTTAATTCCATTTATTAGGCTGTACACTGGAATTTAGAAGTACCTAAAAATCTTTAAAAAACAACCCGCAGCTGTATGTCATTCTCCCTTTTTTCCTCAACACCTTTGAGCACATGACTGTGCTTTGTAAGTAAAGTTTGTAATGAGTACTATGTATTTTTCCAAAACTTTCAGTTCAGCTTCATTTTTGTGTGCAGTTTCTCTTATCTGCAGCAGACCTGTGAATTTAATCGAACTGTTACTAGCAGGATAGGTGTACATCCTACCATGATTAAGTGATTCTGCATCTATCCGCTAGCTTTTACATTAATCTCATAATGTGTTTATTCTCATAAGAGAAAACAAATCCAAGTATACGCTCACCTGAACATTTTTATGCATCCTGAGTATTCAGTATTTCCTACCAGTACTTTCTACTGCAACAGAATTCCAAAACATCTATGTAAGTATTTAGGAAATCTTTCATAGTTTTTAATGAATTTTACTGCTTTGTTTACTGAATTGTGACCTCACTAATAAAAGACCAATTCCACTTTGATCTATTTTATGACTGTTGTGTGTACTAATTTAGACAGCTGCTTTAAAAATTCTCTTCCAGATCATGGTGGTAATTACTGTGCTCCTAGTAACTACGGCATCAGTTTCTCAAGGAACCTTCAAACAAATACAAATTCGAATGCATATGCATTTTGTCCAGCATAGGTGTTTTTTTCAGTTATTAATAAAATGACTCAGCTATACTTGTCAGTCAGTATAAAAGAATAAACTTCTTAATGCACGCTATTTTCCTACACTTTTGTCTTCAGGTGAAGAGATCATCAAAATGAACATACAATGGCAGACCTGAATGTGTGCAGCCTTGTCGTGGGTTACTCTACCTGTGGTATTATTATCATTTCAGTAATACACCTCTGCATGCTAGATACTGCTGCTACTTGAAAGCTGAACCAGCAAACACCGAAGTTATTCTATGTCTGGAAAGTGATGCTGAAAAAGGGGAAAAAAAAAAGCTCCACTGGTAGCATACAGTTTTCTGCTGCTCGGCTTTGACAAGAGGTGCTCAGTCCTTTTACTGGGGCAGGCCACGTGGCCATGACAAAGCCAGACAGGAACCACGTGTGCTGTAGCCCCCTTTGTCGTATAACGTGCCTGTTGTGTACTCAGTGCACTGCCACGTCAAGCACCAAATCTATGTGTATATACATCATTGCCCGATAACACACAGTCCAGCATGGTCTCCATTTCACTAATATGGTAAGTACCTAAAGGATTATTGTCACTCCTTACACGTGTGCCCCTTAGACAGGTGCCGTCCAAAAAGGGGGAAGCCAGGTCACAGAAATTATACTGGTGGCCTTCACTGAAACATAGATTTCTTATCCTGAACCAGCTTAACATGCCAGTCTAACAAAACCCCACAATCATATTTCTAATTCCATAGACAGCATTTCAAGAACATCATATACTTCAGTCTTTACACATACTTGAATAATACAATAATCTTGAGTTCTGCATAACAATGCAAGATGTGAGGCTTATTTTCAAGGATGTAGCTACTCTGAAATACTACTTTTGTTGCATTTCAGATCTTCTTGCATAACTCATTGCTAGTTTAAACATATCTAGAACTGAACTCCTTGCCTCCTTCCCAAATCATCTTTATCTGTAGTGCTGTCATTACCATGATAGAATCATTTTTAATTTTCTCTTCCTTCACATAAATTTAGTCTACATTTATGCCTTGTTTAAAAGCAAGGTTATTTTGCTATCTGCAAAACTCTTTTAATTGTCTTGCTTATGTTCTTTTTTTTATTGGTTTCTTTGATCCCCACATATCATACCATAATGGACCAAATTCCATTTGACTTAATAAAAAATAAGATTTAATGAATGTCTTGTTCAAAGTCTTGGTCCTACTTCCTACTGTATACAACTTAATTTTCTTCTCTCATTGTAAAAATCTGTATTATTTGCTTCCTTTTATGTACCTGTTTTTTAATAAGTTACTCTTATTTGCTCCAACATGGCATCAGCATAATGGGCTATTTTTCTCCCTCTTACAAAGATGCCCCCAGGTCTTTTTTCATTTCAGCCCATATGCTTGAAATGAGCTGATTAGAAAATTATTATCTTTTCATTCAGATGTGTGACTGAAAGGTGAATGTGGAAACCAGTAGCAGTCCCTACACCCAATTTGAGTGGAATGCTTCCTGCTACTCTTAGCTTTGCTCAATCTTATCTCATTGTCACAGTAATTTATTTTCTTTACAAGTTTGTTTATACTTAGACATTTAACTTCAGTAACTTCTTTGAAATATTTATTCTGCAGAAAATAGAATAAATAGAACACCACCCCCCAAGAACTGCCTCCAAAATAAGCATGTTCTTTGATTTGGTTGAATTCTTTTCAAAAAAGTAAAGTGAACTCCTCTGTCTGGGTAGTGTTTCTTTTTGGGAGCTCTATTGTACAACAAACTCTTGACCCTCTTTTAATCTTTTATGGACTACTTCAGTACAATTGACTGTAAACTGCAAGCCATCATCAGCATCAATCCAGACCTACGTACAACTACATTACTTCATCAGTAACTTTGTGCAATCTCTTGATTCAAGTTAAATTCACACCAATTTCAATGTGGTTTTGGTGGGGGTTTTTTGACAGCAGAGATAATTGTCACCCTCTGCTAGTTACTTCCTACAAAACATGCAGATTACTAGTAAAAACAGGAACAAGCAAGTATTATTCTAAAAAGGTCACAAACCATTATAATAGAGTACTCAAGATGGAACATTCTTTTTTAAACAGATGTTTACTTTTTAGAGAAACTAATTCAGTTGCATTAAGATATTTTTCAACAACCAAATAGCATGATGCTTCACAGAGGAACTATGTATCACTGAAAAATCCATTTAAATCCCTCTCCCTCCATGTTTTAGCAACAACTTAAAGAGTCTTTCAATGGCCATGCATTCAGAAAAATGCACAAATATAACTGTCATTTGACAGTATGACGATATTAAGCTTATACTTATCAAAATTATGGTGAAAACCTTTACAAAAGAGACAATACTAGCAGCAAAACAGG